TCCTGGACGGGGAGTTTTTTTGGAGTAGTCGGGGGGGTCTGCCAGTTTGGCTTTTCCCCCCCCCCCCCCCCTTCCGCAGCTGTGTCCCAAGGTTCCCCTCATTGGCATGTGCGGTACGAAAATGCGGTACTTTCTGGGAGAGCAGCTGAGGGACAATTCAGGAAAGACAATGTCGCAGACGCTAGGTAGAGTACATCCTTTGTAATAGTCCAAAGGCATTGGAGAGGTACCTTTCGACGGATGTGGTCATTGGTGGTGTGAGGTGTTGGTGGAAGTGGCCTGGTGCATGCTTCCGTGCAGGGAAAGGAGCTGCAGCTTGGCCCCGTACCCCGTATGTACTCGGCCCCCCTTTTTTTCCCTTCTTCTCCAGTCTTACAGTGCGGGGTGTGGGGCTGCGGGCACTAAACAAGGCGCTAAAACACGGGGGACAGTCTTATCCCCCGCCATTTCGAGCTCGCGATAAGTCGATAAGGCCCGATAAGCCTGCAACCTGATGCTTCCAGGCCCATTGCAGGTGCTCTCCCCAAGTGCCTTTTGCCATTTTATCCACCGGGACCAGTCTTCCTTTTTCGTCCGATGGGAGATTGATAAAGCACTGATAAACTTCATGGAATCGCTGATTAATGCTCGCCCATACGGAGGCCGAGCACCCCTGGCCCATGTTTCTGTCCCGTGTTTGTTTCCCACGTCTCAGTGACCATGGAACATGCAGCTTCTTGTCTTGGGGAGTTCCCGCCTCTTCCGGGCTCTGATGTAGACGACTTCTGGCGGGTATCTATTGTTCCTGGCTGGCAAATGTGATGCCTCAAATCCTCTTCCAGTATCGTGGCAATCCAAGACTCGAGTATAGATAGATCAATATCAACATCTTCCCATCATCACTTGATCGCATATCAAAGTGTCCAAAAAGTCAAGACGAACGTGTCACATGCACGAAACACGAGGACTCTATCCGCGACTTTGCATTGCATGGCATGCATGTAGCGCACAGAAGGGAAGGCAGAGCAGACAGACGTGCATCGGCTGGTTCGGAGCGACGAAGCAGAGAGAGAGAGAGCCAGTGCAGATTCGGCAGGCAGATGGAACAGACAGACGACCAATAAGGCCCGACTTCCCAAGGGGGGTAGAAGATGGTTTGAACCGGTTAGTCATTGGTCAGTTGGGTGTTATAATGCTCGACACCATTTGTATCATTTGGCATCTTCTAGAGGGAAACGATCGTTCGGCAGCGTTGAAGAGAATTCCAAGCAAGCTCAATTATAACTTCTGGTATATTACTAACATCCAAATGCTATCTGCTAATATGACTGTTAGTTTTTCAATTGATAGAGTGGAATTGGTGTAGTTGCTGTTGGACTCAAATCCCATAGTCTTATAGATCTCCTAGCCGCAACCTAGCGTCAGCTGAAGTATTCTCATTTCCCCAAGAAAATTTGTGAGCCTCTTCGAATTATTGGAAGGGCTCAATTCCACTAATTGCAAATTATTCGGCGGCGTCAGATGGTAGAAATCTCGTCGACAAGTGAGTAGGGCGTTCCAAGCTGACGATGGCAGACAATCAGATCAACCAGCCGACACAACCAACTCAATTGCAATCCAAAACACAAGGGACAAAATGCAATAAAGTGCAAAAAAAAAGGAGTAGCCTGAAAGTGAAGTCGAACTCAAGGGGTCGAGGTCCATCTCCTTGGAGATATGTGGAAATCCCCCGTCCCCAGCTGAGTGTTCCACTGGGCCACAGCGCCCGAGGGAGTTGGACCCCCGTTTGCTTGTGGGATGAGGGGGATGCGTTGGTCATGAAGGCTGTGCTTGCTCGCCGTCGATGGTCGTCGAGGTTGTTGTTGGCGCTGGCCGTCGAGGTAGATGAGGCTGACCTGGATGGTGATGAGGCGAGGGAGGGGGGTGACCGGGACGGGTTGACGATGTTATGTGAGTGGGCTGGGTCTATTCCCTGCCGCACTGTATGGTATTCTTTCTCTAGTTCCACTCCAGATTGACCTTTTCCCACTGTACCCTTTTTTGAACATGATTCTTTCCTTCCGTTGGCCATGATGCCCCATCACAAAACCCAGTGTCTATCGCCATGTCCAACCCCTTGCCATTGCCAAATATGTCTGCATCCAAGACGGCTCACTGCAAAAACGAATCATCGTCCTCAACAAGCCCCATCATCTGCTGATTACTATAAAACCAGTCCTCCAGCTGCGCCGCGTTCCCCATCCACATCATCTGGTTCAGCGCCCCGGATCCCGCCCCTGCACCGTTCATCCCGTCCTCTGCTCCGCCGCTCGTCATCCCGGACATCTGCTCCGACCCCACGTCCGACGATTGCTGTGCATGCTGCTGCGGATGCCCAGATGCCGGCGGGAACCCGAGCGCCGTGAGGTACTTGTCCATCTCCTGGCCCTGCTCCTCCGATTGCTGCTGCTGCTGGTGGTTGTTGTTGTTCCCGCTGCTGCTGCCGCCGCCGCCGCCACCACTGCCCTGGCTCCGCATCTCAACGTACCGGAACGCGACATTATAAAGCACCTGAAAGAGGCGGCACAGCCGTGCCGACGCCTCGGTGAACTCTTTTGCGCCCTGGATCGAGGCGACGAAGCCCTGGAGGCGGGCGAGGTCCGAGGTGTCGCTTGTTTCGATTACCTGGCAGAAGATTACGATGAAGGGGACAAAGGGGGAGAAGAGGATGGTCCTAAGCATCGCCAGTGTGAGTGCAAGATTCCGCGGAAGATGGGAAAGGGGGGGGGGGTTTGCTAGAGTGTGTTGGGAACGCACCAGTTCATGTACATGGGAAACAGGTAGTACGCATCCTTCGCCATGATGGCCATGCAATCCTCGTGCCGCTGCAGCGTCGCCCTCGCGGCGTTGATGCACTCCGTCCCAAACGTCGTCGCGGACCCGGGGGGCGAGGGGACGGCGCGGTAGATGATGGTCAGCAGGGACAGTCGCAGGACCTCATCCGACACGTTGAAGAACTCCATCGTGTTCTCTCCCACGGCCTCGATGGCCGACTTTAAATACTGTGACTGTTGGTTCACGGCATGTTAGCATTCAATTAAAAACCACCTGACAGGGATAGAAAAGAAAAAAACTTACATGCGTCTCCTGCGTCCGGTCCGTAACCCTCCTCAACTCCGCCGCCAAACCCCTCGCCCTCGCCTCCCGCACGGCGCTCGGCTGCGCAATCGCCTCGGGGCTGTACAGCTGCTCGTACGTTTTCCCCTGGATGCGCGAGACAATGACCCACAGGCAAAAGTAGCTCATGAGGGCGCCGTGCATCTTGCTGGCGCTCGAGGGATAGGGGGCCGTGACGTCGTAGTCCTGGATGGTCGAGGGGCGGCCGAGGCGGAGGGAGAGGGACTTGTCGATGAAGTAGACGGACCAGAAGAGGAAGATTTTGTATTCCTCGTCGTCTGGGTTCGTGGTGGTTGGGCCTGTTGCCGTGCCTGTTGTCGAGGAGGAAGAAGATGAGGAGGATGATGCGCGGTGGTAGCCTAGGGTTTGGCAGAGTTGGGCCGAGGCTACGTTGAGGGTCCAGGCGAGGCTTGGTTTTGCTACTTCCATTGCGTGGTAGGCCTGACGATGTTAGCTACAGACGTAAGAAGAGTGCGAGAGAGAACCTTACACCGAACAAAAGGGCCACAATCATGTCCATCGTGGCCGGGAGGTGCAGAGGCAGGTTGGCGAGGGCGGTCTGGAGGTTCCCCCGGCAGAGGGTGCCCATCTTGGCGCACTCCTCCCTGAGCTGCGCGCTCGCCGTCTTGGATTGCGTCATGTCGTTGTACAGGCTCTCGAGGCCGGCGTTGACGATGATGAACTCGGCCTCGTTGAACTCTGTCGGTGCAAAGTAGACCTTGAGGACCAGGTCCGTAAAGTGGTCCGGGTGGAGGAACGTCGTCACCCACTCGAGGCCCAGCGTCTTTTGAGCTATTTGAGATAGTCAGTGATGTTTCCTTGGCTGTATAGTGACTTTAGACTACGCACCCTTTGCTTCGCGGATGATGTTGACGGCGGACTGCACGGGCGGCATCTCGCACTCGCCAAACGCCGGCCGGGCCACGGGCTTCGCCTGCGGGTACGTCAGCTCGTGCGACGCGGGCTGGTGCCGGAGCGCCTCGACGAGCGAGTGCAGGGCGTCGAGGGTCTCGCGCATCTCGAGCACCGAGGACCCGTCGCCGACGGTCTTGCGGAGGAAGTCGTGGGCGAAGATGGACTGGGCCGTCATGGAGGACTCGCCCTCGACCAGGGGGTCCGTCGTGTGCTGCTGCTGCGTGGAAGTGCTGGCTGGTGTTGTCGACATGGATGTTGAAGCCACGGTCTTGAGCTGGATGGGTGCCGGCGGGCCCCCTGATACTCCTCCTGCTCCACCTCCTGCTCCTCCGCCGGGGGTGGCGGTTGATCCCGCGACCGACGGTGCTGTTGATGGTGCTGCTGATGGTGCTTGGAGGGGGAACTGGAGTTTAAGGTCCTCGAGGAGGCGGACTACGCCGTCGAGGCGGCGGTCTATTAAGTCGATCTTCTTTTCACTGGGTCATGTGTGAGTTGTGAACGGGGGACAAGTGCGTGAGGACTGTGACTGACTATTGAGGGGTGATGAGGATGCGGGTTCTCTTCTCTTTGGGTTTCAGCCCCGATGTGTTCTTACACTCGATCCCGGCGTGCTGGCAGTGAGCACATGGTTCCTCTCTATCACAGCGAATCTTGGAAGCACACAGTCAGCGCTACGTCCAATGGATGGTGTCGAGTGACATGATGACACGGGCCAATGAAGAGTAAGACAACGTACTTTACGGGCACGACAAGCATCACACTAAACGTGTATGTTAGTTTCGGCGTGGTTTACCACGACGGGGTATTATGAGGGTCTACTTACCGCTCGTTTGATGGGAAGGTTGGCGCCGCCCACGCCGCCAGCAGCGGAGAGACCCGCACCAGCCCCGGCAGAAGATCCGGTGTCCATTGCGGCTCGGCTAGATATTTCCAAATTTGACCAGATAGCTTCACTTTAAGGGCAGGTCGTACCCGAGGAGCAAGGGTCCAAGACTCTCGGAGGGGGGGTCCGGCGGGGCGGGATCGGTGAGATCCGAAATCTAGAATTGTCGTTGTACAGAGAAGAGATGCCAAGCGAGACGTTGTGTCCGGGGCTGGGTGAATTCGGGGCCCGAACGAGGACGGGATCACGAGAAAGCAAGCGGGCGTAGATGGTTCGGAACCTCAACACAACTTTCGCGGCGGGATGAGGTCGCGGCCCGGGGGCAACTAAGAAGGACGGGAACGGCGCGCGCGGGTTCCGCTTCCGGCGGATTTTATGGAGCAAGAGGGCGGCCCCTGTGGCTGTGACCGTGGCTGTAACGCCGCCGCTAGCAGATTCCGCAGTTGAGGCTGGAGAATTTGGTCACCTTTACGGGTACGACGATGTGCATGCGCGATAGGATATATTTTGAAAGGGAAAAGAGAGAGAAAAGAAGGGATTCTAGCACCCATATGAGGTGTGGGATCAAAGGCACCTGTTGCAGAACGCATGCACGATTTTTTAGTAATTCAGATCCCCGTGCTCAACCCCCTGGCGATGGGCCCTTTCAGGGGTCCGGGTGACGGCACATCTCTGCGATTCAGGGCTCATCCAGGAGCAGACGCGGTGGTTCGCGCCGGATAGGCCGCTGTAGAGACGCATCTGAACTGGGGTCACCGGCTTTAGGTAGAAACCAACTAGGGGACACGTAGAGCTATGATTCGCCGGTAGGAAGTGTGCCGATCACGGAATCGCAGTCTTGTCACGTTCTAGCGCCGCCGTTGTAGTCTATTCAAACGTATCCCACCGGCAACGCCAGGGCCACATCGCCGGCATGGACGCATTTGGATCTGTGAATGCCCGTGATAGGTAGGGAGAGGCATGGACCAGCATCTCTGACGGGGACGGAGTAAGGATGGAGTCTTTCCCATCGTTCGGCGTCCGCTGGTCCTTCCGGCTTGCGGCTTCAGACGTCAGGTTGACTCCGGGCAGGACTATATGGAGGGTATCTGCCGCAATGTTCTTTTGATTCGAGCATGGCCACCTTTGAGATCAGGCGAATGAAGACGGCAACAAGGTAGCAGGAAGCCAATCTGACTGCTCAACCTAGCGCACTGCTGGTGTGGTCAGTCACGGCGACATGCTGTCCACAGATACCGTCTTTGTGGCAACTGCCCGGTGACTCGAAAGTAGCTCACCCCGGAGCAGCGCTCCCACATATCGGCGCGGCGCCGTGGCGTCTCAGATATCCGCCGCGCCGCCCGGCGAAAGAGTCATCGGCATCATCGACGTCGGACTCGGCCAAACCAAACCATCCTGCTGACACCTCATCGCACATCAATCGGAAGGGGGACTCGTTTAGCCTTTAATGGTTTGGGATGAAGGGAAATCTGGACAATGTCTGACACCTCGCGCCCCGAGAGCACCGCGCGCCGAGCAAAGCAGCGCAGTGGGCGTCCGGGCGTGATGAACCCGCGGCCCCCGCTGCGAGCCTGCCAAGCTGGAGTCGAACCAATCGCACTGGTTCCTGCACCGAAGCGGGGGGTCCACTCTACCGGAGAGTGGGGCGCTCTCGCTTCCATGACGGCGGTCCGCGGGAGAAGCCAAGGGCCCAAGGGCCTCGCAGTAGCAGCTTCAATGACGGAAACTCTGCGACGTTGGCGATCCGTCATCTCGCGTGTGCGTGTTCCATTTTCCGAATTTCAAATGTCGACATGCGCGTTTGAAAAGGTTCTTCAGGTGCACCGCATCATATAACCTGCTCCGTCTGGTTTTCTCCATCTCATCTACAAGAGAAACCAACCCGCCGGCTCATATCTCTTGATCGCACGAACTCCCCACGCGACACAGACGAACAGCTCAGGTTTTAGGGTGAACCGCCCATCAGCCGCACAATATGGGGGCCGAAAAGAAGGAGCACACTCCGGCTGAGGATACCGTCGCCGCCATCGCTTCGCCAAACGAGGCTGTCAAGGCAGAGGGCGGCGCGTTCAAGGCCTACCTGGTATGATTGCCGCCAACTCTCACTTTTTGTAAACATGCTAACGTCTCCAAGAGGATCTTTTCCTTTGGAGGACCCTTTGAAAAGCTCTTGCAAGTTGTCGCGATAGTATGCGCCCTGGGCGCCGGCGCCGGTGTGGCCCTGCAAAACTTGATCTTTGGCAGCTTCGTCACCACCATCCAGGACTTCACCACCGGCCAGTCCACCCCTCAATACTTTCGTAATGAAGTCTCAAAGCTGGCGTAAGTCTACATCTCGCCATCCGTCCATCACATACCAAGCTAACACCCCCAGGCTCTACTTTGTCTACCTCGGCATCGCGCGCTTCGTCCTCGCCTACGGCTACATCTCCCTGACAACCTTCTCCGCCTACCGCGTCACGCGAAACATCCGCCATGCCTACCTCCACGCCGCCCTTCGCCAGGAAGTCGCCTTTTACGACATCGGCTCCGGTGGCTCCATCGCCACCCAGGCCATCTCCAACGGCCGTCTCATCCAGGTCGGCATCGCCGAGAAGCTCGCCCTGACCTTCCAGGGGCTCGCCGTCTTCGTCACCGCGTTTGTTATCGCTTTCGTCACGCAGTGGAAGCTGACGCTCATCGTGTGCTGCATCGCGCCCCTGATTTTGGTCGTGATGGGCGTCGTCTCCACCATCGAGGCCGGCCTCGAGACAAAGATCCTCGACATCTACGCCCAGGCGGGCTCCTTTTCCGAGGGCATCCTCTCGAGCGCGCGCACCGTCCACGCCTTTGAGATCAGGTCGCGCCTGGTGGAAAAGTTTGACAGGTTCCTCGAGGACGCTCACCGCATCGGCAACAAGAAGTCGGCCCTGTTTGGCGTGCTCTTTTCGTTCGAGTACTTTGTCATCTACGCCGGCTTCGCCCTGGCTTTCTGGCAGGGCATCCACATGCTGAACCGTGGCGAGATCACCGAGTCTGGAGACATTTTTACGTGAGTGGCAGTCCGTCAAATCTCTCAGAAGCACCAGCTAACAAGGCTGTAGGGTCCTCCTGTCCGTGGTCATTGGTGCAACGAGCTTGACCATGCTGGCGCCCTACATCATCGAGTTCACCCGCGCCGCCTCCGCCGCCGCCCAGCTCTTCAAGCTCATCGACCGCGTCTCCGAAATTGATCCCTTTGACAAGTCGGGCCACCAGCCCACCGAGACGGTCGGCGTCGTCGACCTCGAGAACGTCTCCTTTGAGTACCCGACGCGCCCCGGCGTCACGGTGCTCGACAACTACTCGCTCCACGTGCCTGCGGGCAAGGTGACGGCGCTCGTGGGATCGAGCGGCTCCGGCAAGAGCACAATCATTGGGCTGATTGAGCGGTGGTACAATCCAAAGTCGGGCACCATCAAGCTCGACGGCCAGCCGATCAACGAGCTGAACCTCAACTGGCTCAGGAAGAATGTCCGGCTCGTGCAGCAGGTGAGATTGGAAGCACCTAGATTTTGAACCAACGCTGAAAACCGCAGGAACCCGTCCTCTTCCAGGGAACAGTCTTTGACAACATTGCCAACGGCCTCGTCGGAACCCCGTGGGAGTCCTCTTCCCGCGAGGAGCAACTCCGCCGCGTCCAGGACGCCGCCAAGATCGCCTTTGCCCACGACTTCGTCTCCCAGCTGCCCGAGGGCTACGATACAATGATTGGCGAGCGCGGCGGCCTCTTGTCGGGCGGCCAGAAGCAGCGCGTCGCCATTGCGCGCAGCATCATCTCAGAACCCAAAGTCCTACTCCTCGACGAGGCCACCAGCGCGCTGGACCCGCACGCCGAGGGCGTCGTGCAGCAGGCGCTAGACAAGGCCGCCGAGGGCCGCACGACCATCGTCATTGCCCACAAGCTCGCCACCATCCGCAAGGCGGACAACATTGTCGTCATGAACAAGGGCGCGATTGTCGAGCAGGGGACGCACGAGGGGCTGTTGGCGCAGGGCGGTGCGTATACCCGTCTCGTGAGGGCGCAGAACTTGAATGTGGCCGAGGAAGGGTCCATTACCGAGACGGAGGAGGATGACGACGAAGCGGTGACGGCGGCGGCGGCGACTTCCGGGAAGGAGGGTATTGAGCTCACGAAAACCATGAGCCGGTACCGCACGACGGACCAGACGCGGATGGAGGCGCAGAAGGAGCGCGACAACTTTGATCACTACAAGCCCATCGGCCTCATCAGCGTCGTTATTCGCATGGTGCGCGAGACGCCTGAGCTGAAGTGGGCGTACCTCGCGACCTTACTGGCCGTGATAGTCGCCGCCGGCGCTTTCCCCGGCCAATCCCTCGTCATCGCCAACCTCGTCGACGTCTTCACGATGACGGGCTCCGAGATGATCACCAAGGGCAACTTCTACTCCCTCATGTTCTTCGTCCTCGCCCTCGGCGTGCTCTGCTGCTACTTCGTCATGGGCTGGGCCACAAACGTCATCGCCCAAGGGCTCAACCACAAGCTGCGCCGCCAATCCCTCAACGACTTCCTCCGCCAGGACCTGCAGTTCTTTGACCGCGTCGAGAACAACACGGGCGCGCTCGCAAGCCGCCTCGAGTCGAACCCGCAGGCCATCCTCGAGCTCATGGGCTTCAACATTGGCCTCATTCTGATTTCGTCGCTGAATGTCATCGCGTGCGGCATCCTGGCCATCGCCACCACCTGGAAGCTGGGCCTCGTCGTCGTGCTCGCGGGTATGCCGCCGCTTGTCAGCTCAGGTTACATCAAAGTCAGGCTCGACTCGCGGCTCGATACAAAGACGTCGAAGCGGTACTCTGCCAGCGCGGCGATCGCGTCCGAGTCCGTGACGGCGATCAGGACTGTTTCGTCTCTCGCTATTGAGGAGTCGGTGTTGAAGAGGTACACTGATGAGCTCGACAACGCCGTGAGGGCTTCGACTGGCCCCCTTTTCGTCATGACTGTTGCGTTTGGACTGACCCAGGCCATTGAGTACTTTTTCATGGCCCTCGGGTTCTGGTAAGTTTTGGATGCTGCTCATGTCCATCTCGATGCTGACATTCAACTAGGTACGGCTGCCGGCTGCTCTCGTTCAATGAGATCACAATGTACCAGTTCTTCGTCGCCTTCATGGGCACCTTCTTCTCTGGACAGGCCGCGTCGCAGCTGTTCCAGTACTCGAGTAGTAAGTCGAGTCCCCCTTTTTCATGAAATCCAGCTGCTGACTCTTCCCAGGCATGACCAAGGGCATCAACGCCGCAAATTACCTCTTCTGGCTACATGACCTCCAGCCGTCTATCCAGGAGACGCCCCAGAACCGCGACGCCGCGCCAAAGGCCGGCGCCTCGGTCGACTTCCAGCAGCTCCGCTTCTCGTACCCTCTACGACCCGATGCGCATGTCCTCCGCGCTGTCGATCTCGAGGTGAGTTCTCGCTTACCATACTCCAGTGCCTCGATAACCATCATGCCTAACACACACACCTAGATCAAAAAGGGCCAGTTCGTCGCCCTGGTAGGCGCCTCAGGCTGCGGCAAATCCACAATGATCGCCATGCTCGAACGCTTCTACGACCCAACAACAGGCAGCATCCGCATCGACGGCGACGCCGCCCTATCGGACCTCAACCCCCGCCTCTACCGCCACATCGTCGCCCTGGTCCAGCAAGAGCCCACCCTCTTCCAGGGCTCCATTCGCGAGAACATCTCGTTGGGAATCGACGCAGAGTCCCTCGACGAAATCGTCCCCGATACCCAAATCGAAGCGGCCTGCCGCGCAGCCAACGCGTGGGACTTTGTCTCCTCTCTACCCGAAGGTCTCGCGACCCCCTGCGGCAGCAGCGGGATGCAGCTGTCGGGAGGACAGAGGCAGCGCATTGCCATCGCGCGGGCGCTGATCCGGCAGCCCAAGATACTGCTGCTCGACGAGGCGACGAGCGCGCTCGACACCGAGTCGGAGAAGATTGTGCAGCGCGCGCTGGAGGAGGCCGCGCGGGACGGGGAGAGGATCACGGTTGCTGTTGCGCACCGGTTGTCGACGGTCAAGGATGCCGATGTGATTTGTGTGTTTTATGGCGGGAGGATCGTGGAGAGGGGCACGCATACGCAGCTTGTTGCCAAGGGGGGCATGTACAAGCAGATGTGCGAGGCGCAGAATCTCGAGTGAGAAGGAAAAGTTGAAGAGGTTGAAGAGTGTCGGAAATGAGAGATACCTCGTCCTAGTTGAACTGTTACATTTCGGCCTGGGAGTTGAGCGCTTGACTCCTCCCATAGAGCACGGCGTTTGGAAAAGGGGATTCCTGTATGATTATCTGACTCGCAACTGCGCAACTTAGTCGTTCACATTTGTCCTAGAGACATTTAGATTCGTAATGTTTAGACTCAAAGAGACCACTCTCATACTCTGTGAGCACGGGCACCATTGTCTTGGGAGCTGCTCTCCTCGTGATGATGTGCGATGGGCCTACCGAAGTCGGAAGCCTTTGTCACCCTCCCATCGCCGGCCCCGAAGCTCCTGTATCTCTCTCCCACGTGGTCTGGTTGGAGCCCGCGCGGCCTAGCCCGGCCAGATCATCCAGACCTAAGGGGGAAAAGTCCACTGGGCACTTTTCAGCTGCTGCATCTTGGGACGAAATCTCCATGGACCCCAGAGCCCGAGGCACCGCTTGACCAGGCTGGATCACCGATTCGACGATGCCAAAGTTCGATCGTGCAGTCATTCTCGAAACGACAATGTGCTTTCTCTGGTTTGGCCAACTTCATGACGAACGATTGGCTCCTCCTACCATAGGGAACGGGTGATCACGTTTGATGTTCTTCGCGAAAGCTATTCCGCCCAAGCTATTCCGCCCAAGCAGGCTGACGACGTGCCTCTCAAGCAACATACGACCCGGAACAGGAGGATAACGATCCATTGAAAAGCCAAGGAAAGCTTCTTCACATCGTGGCGAAGTTTTGGGGATCTATCGGAGCTCGTGCCGTCGTCGTGCCGTCGTCGTGCTTGGCGTTTGCGCAAAACATCACCCAGGACACGTTCCGTCAGCACACGCCCTTCTTCAAGGATCATCTTGGGCTCATGCGATTAACCAAAAGTCTGTAAAATGAAATGGTAAGCTTGTTCCCCCAAGGCACCAAAGACATCGACACCACCAAGACCAACACCCCCCGCCGTCAACCCTGGTTCCCCGACTTACACGGGGATCGAACAGCCAATCAGAGACGCCAATCCACCCACGGGGTCGGACCCAACGGCCACGGTCAACTCTCGTCTCTTGCCGGGAACACAAACCTCTCGACCGACGACAACCCGGCCGGGATTGACGAATAGCAACGAGGTTCTCAACCAGGTTCGGGAAGCTCAGCAAGCTTAGAAAGCTCATGATCCCTTCTCGACCTGCAGCGCCAAGCCAACGCCACATGACGCCGTTCATCTCTTCTGCCTTCTGGCAACCCACCCCACGCAGCGCTCGCAGGCTTCATCCCCCAATCCGCAGACCGAACACGCCCAGCTTCCAGCTTCGGAGCTTCTTCCTTCTTGCTTGCCCTAGGGTCTAGCATGATTAGCCATCATCTCCGCTTCGCCGTCAAATAACAAGCGTCTTGGCGTTGGGAAGCCCGAGATGGCCCCGACTCACCACCTCAAAGTTCGCGCAGAGACACGTGCCTCTGTCGCTCAAAACGAGCCGTGAAGTTACATTCAGCTTGCTATCCCATCCGACCCAGCACGCCGTCATGATATCGGTCTAGCCGTCTTTCTGCCCCCTCCTGCGCGGGCCAATCGTACATCAATATTGATGCTCTCGGTGCAGACGGAATCCTACCCATTACGTTGGACTAACGTTCTGCGCAGGCTGGGATGATGCGCCGCGCAATCTGCAGCTCTCTCTCACCCGGGGCTGTCTTCAAAGTATGGAACCCGCGAATGCGAGGATCCGCGAACCGACAGAATGTTTTTGTCATGCAGTAGACAGGGAACTTTTGGCGGGGGAATTAGCCTTCCCATCTCTAAAGAGACATGGGATGACTTTTCGTCCCCTAGCTGAACTTATTGGTATATAAGCTCCCGAGCCGCAGGAAAGCTTCTGCTCCAGCGTCCCGGTCAAGCTTGTTGTGCCTCGTCTTCTCATCCCACGCTTCATTGTGCTCTTTGGCTTCGCTCTGCAGCCAATTCACCCAGAGGACACACAAAAGATGGTCAAGCTCAACCCCCTCGCCGCCGTCCTGGCCGCGGCTTCGCTGTCGTCCCTCGCCTCGGCGCAGACCTACCAGCGCCTCGGGACGTGCCCGGACCTCGGCTGCGTCCTCCCGCCCGACCAGTCCGACTTCCTCCCCGGCCAGACCTTTGACCTCCGCGTCGAGGTCCACGCGCCCGTCAACGGCTCCGAGGCGTTCAACAACGGCGTCCCCGATGAGGCCTTCACGGCAACCATTGCCAAGGAGGGCGGTGCCGTCAAGAGCTTGACCGAGTTCTTCGGCCTCGAGGAGCCCAAGCTCGAGAAGTGGTCGTTTGGGTGGTACGAGGACCTCTTTGCCGAGGACGCCAAGCAGAAGAGCGTCGTCAACGTGGCGTCCAAGATTTGGCGCCGCCTCGCGCTCTATGAGCCTGGCAACTACGTCGTCACCCTCACGTACTACGACGGCAAGAAGACCACCGCCAACTGGGTCGTGCGACCTCTGGCGACGGAGAAGAAGGCCAAGAATGTCATCTTCTTTATTGGTATGTTCTCTGTGGTTGTGATGATTGTGCCCGTGCTAACTTGGACTCAGGCGACGGAATGACCACCAACATGGTATTGACCGCGAACTCGCATCTCTTGACACCATACTGACACCCACAGGTCACTGCCGCCCGTCTTCTCGGTCACAAGAGCATCAATGGAAAGTACCAGACCAGCTTGGCTCTCGACAAGTTCCCCGTCATTGGTCACCAGATGACCCATTCCATTGACAGCTACATTACCGACTCTGCCAACTCGGCGTCTGCGCTGTACTCTGGTCACAAGAGCACCGTGAACGCCATGGGGTAGGTGAACGATGATGAACTGCTAGGGTGCTCGCTGACATGTGCCAGTGTCTACGTCGACTCTTCCCCCGACGCCTTTGACGACCCCAAGGTCGAGACTATTGTCGAGCTGATCCACCGTATCTGGGTATGTCAGAAGTCCCTGGCCGCTCAGAAATCGTACTGACAAACGCAGGGCTCCGCCTGGGGCGCCGTCTCCACGGCCTTCATCGCCGACGCGACACCCATCGCCCTGACGGCGCACACCCGCGCCCGGTCCCTGTACGGGCCCCTGATCGACCAGGCCCTCAACGGCATCACAAACTACACCTGGACAAAGATGACCGGCCCGGACGTCTACCTCGGCGGCGGCGCCGAGCAGTTCTACCCGGGCAAGGGCTCCTACCAGGGCAAGGACTACTATGCCGCCTTCGCCGACAAGGGCTACAGCGTCGCCCTCAACAAGACGTCGCTCGAAGCCGCCGACCCCAACGAGCGCATCCTCGGCATCTTTACTCAGGGCAACCTCCCCGTCTGGCTCGACCGTAATGTCCTCACGGAGAACCTGGCCAAGCTGAGCAACGATCCCACGGGCAATAAGAGCGCCGCCGCCGATGTTCCCGGGCTCAAGGAGATGACGCTCAAGGCCGTCGAGACGCTGCACAACCGCGGAGGCGAGCGGGGCTTCTTCTTGATGTCCGAGGCCGCGTCCATCGATAAGCAGATGCACGCCCTCGACTACGACCGCGCGCTGGGCGACCTGCTCGAGCTCGACGACACCGTCAAGGCTACGCTGGAGAAGCTCGAGGAGCTCGGCATTCTTGAAGAGACCCTCGTCGTCGTTTCGTCCGACCACGGCCACGGCTTTGAGTGAGTACTCGTCAACATCTACTACAGTCTCGATACTGACATTAGCAGCGTCTTTGGCAACGCCGACACAAAGTACCTAGCTGAGCAAAAAGACGACCGCACAAAGCGCAAGGCCGTCGGCGTCTACGCAAACTCGGGCCTGTCGCAGTACACCGTCGAGCAGCCCGGCGTCTCGTACAACACGGGGCCCAACTTCCCGCTCAACTGGTCCCCGCGCTACGCCATCGCCGCGGGCTTCGGCGCCAACCCAGACCGCCGCGAGGACTACAAGGTCCACGCCGACGGCGCGCGCACCCCGGCCGTTGCGGCGACGAATACCACGGACTACTACGCCAACCCCAAGGACGCCGTCGACGGGTTCGTCGTGAATGGCACGCTGCCTACTAACGAGGCGCAGGGCGTGCACTCGTTGACGGACGTTGCTGTGTGGGCGAGGGGACCCTGCCAGGAGACGTTTGGTGGGACGTATAGCAACATTGATGTTTTCTACAAGATGGCGAATTGTCTTGGTCTCGCGCAGCCTAGGAATGCGACGGCGCCTGGGGCTGGGTGTGCGAGGAAGGCTAGGGCTCTCCATGCTTGAGGATGGAGGTTACGTTGAAAAAAAAAAAAAAAAAAGAGGTTTTGAGACTTTGGTATAGCATGGCGAGCGGGTGTTGAGGCGGTTGATGTTTGGGTGTGGGATGGCGTATTTGCAGAGGCTGGAGAGGCTCTCTCGTAATGAAACTCGTTGTTAAAGTATAGAATTACTACTACGTTGGTCAAGGAAATTCTCTTTGCCTATTACCAGCCTGAAGAGTCTGAAGTACTGGTCGGTTTGCCCTGGTGTTCGTAGAGATAAACAGTCAGATGGACGGATGGATACGCTCCCTCTCCGCTCGTCACCGTGTAAGTCTCCCATGAACTCGTTTGAAGGCCCGCTTCAAGGCTATCTTCATGTACGAAATTGCACACCGTTCTCTGACATCGCAAACGTTATAGAAGACTGGTGCTACGTCAAGAGTATAGTCTCGTGAAGTTGTTTATGCATCGTTGCCCCAAAATCAAAAATCAAGTCGAAGAGATTGTGCACGATACCTGGAGCAGCAGTACGAACATGAAAGAGAATTCTGATCTATGATTTCATTGATCTTTCACACAAAGGACTCTCAAACTTGTCCGATGCGAGTCTAGGCCACAGTGCCACTCGGTGATGTTACAATGGACCCCCGGGCCCCATTCGCTCGGGCCCATCATCGGCCGATGAACTGACCATGATCCACTTTCCGTCGTCCGTTTTGTCCCCCTCTGTCAGCCCACGATGGACGGGATCAATTTACTCTTTCTGGCCGTATTGTCCACGGGCAGAGAATCTGTTTGCTTTCCTTCAAGGAACTAGATGGGCTAGGACGAGGGTACCGGGAAAAAGGAATAAACAGATGACCTCTGCCTTTGCCAACCTGGGTGAGCCGCAAAGCATGGTTACATCCCGGAAGACAGGCGAGGCAAGCGAGGCAGAAAGGTCAGACCGCGCAGGTGTCAACTGATGTAGCTATGTCGTGCATTGTTCGTTTCTTGTTTAGATTGCTGCCCCCGTTCGGATCTCTTGCGAAGGGGGGTACAGTTCGTGTGGTAAGCAGGGTCGATCTCCCGCGCGGTCCGACTCTGTGGGGTTTGACTCGTAACCCGAGTGGATGCAGAACACCAAGAACCACAAAGATGCCACTCAGCAATCATAACCCGTGAGAACTTCACTGCTTCTTTGAAATGTTCGCAACCTGATATCGAATATGCGACCCGCACTATCTACACTAACTCCCACGGCAATCTACCCAAAACCCTAGAAAGAAAGAATTAAATTCACCTCTCAGCAAGCCTCTCCATAATCCCCATCGCCTCCTCATCATCAACCTCTCCCTCGGCACACTTGCCTGTAAAACAACTCGAGTGCGCCCAGACACGGGCCCCCTCAAACCCGTCAACCGCCCCCTCAACATTCTCCTTCCTCACCCCGCCGCCGATAATAACCTCCAGTCCCTTTCCCGTCCCCTTGCCAGCGGCCCCCGACGACGCCGCCTCCCGCACAACAACCTCCAGCGCGGCCCGGTTCTCCGCCGCGTTTCCCGGCCCGCCGGACGTAAGCACCCCCTCAAACCCGCAGCCCACCAAATCCCTCACCCCCTTCGTAATCGTCTCGGCTCTTCCATCGCGAATAACCTCGTCAAAAGCCCGGTGGAAAGAACACGCAAGTCCGCCAGCGGCCTCCACCAGCCTCCGATTCCTCTCGACATCAACCACAACCCCACCATCATCACCAACATTCCTCCTCTCCAAAACCCCAAACACAAACCCATCCCCCCTCTCTCCTCTCAACACGCCCCGAAACCTCTCCACATCCCTCACCATCATCTCAAACTCGTCATCATCGTACACAAAGTCCACCTCATCTTCAGGGCGCTTCCCCCGCGGCCGGATCATGATCCGCACGGGCACCATGAGCCAGTTATTCACGCCCTCGAGGTCCGCGAGCGCGGGCGTCGTGCCGCCGACGGCGTAGCTCCCGCGCGCGTTGAGCTCGATGCGCTGCGCGCCGATGGCTTGGGCGTGCAGCGCCGAGGAAGGGGAGAAGACTGGTATCTCGAGGTGGATTGGCATCGTGGGCGGCGATTGCTTTGTGACTGTCATTTGGGTGGTTGTTTGGTGGGTGATGTTCGTTGTTTGATAAAGTCCTTGGGGTAAGGTAGGATGGATTGGATAGTCGATTGGATAATCCGTTGATGTGATAGGTTCAATCGAATTAAGGTAGCGGGAAAAAGTAACGACAACCCTGCAAGTTTCGCTCAACGTTGGTTTGACTTTAAAGAATCGAGGATGAAAGACACAATCCAGAACGAACACCAGAAAGTCAATTGCAAGACGGCCGCGTTTTAAAGACTTGACTATTCCTATGATATTTCTTGTTTATTTGCCTCTCGTCGCCCTTCTGTCCTTATCAGCCTTGCTTTTGCCCCTTCGCTCGGACGGCACTTTTAATATCAGATCATGCCACCCTTCCTTGCTTGCTGTTCGTGTCAGTTACCCCACCGGCGACATGGAGTCTTGGAGACCTGGATTCAAAAAAGTCGTTCGAGTTGACCCCCTCGGCTGGCTTAGTCATTGTGCACATCTTATTAAACCTGAGACGTGGGATAAAGGGGGGCACAATCGAAGGATGGGGAAGCTATGAATGATTGATGCTCAATTCCTATGAAGACTATGGGGAACTATCTCGCGGGGTCCTGAACGACTAGGGTCTATCCATCTCCCACTGTCTGCATCCCGAAAGCCATGATGGGTATATTTGCCATTAACCTCATCCCGACGCCTAAACCAAGGCTCGAATCCGGCCACAATGCTCAATGCCAATGTCGAAACTCGATTGTTTCTTCCGGACGCCGCCAAAACGCCCAATGCCAATGTGAAAGCCTCCAAATCCGTGATAGAGTGGTGATGTCTTCGTAATCGCTGCGTCTGTGCTTGTCGCGGGCGGGTCTACAAAGCAACTGAATGCCACTGTCACCCTGACGAAAGTCGCAATGTCCTGACCTGGAGAGCAGAGAGTACAGCGTAAGAAGCTCACTCGTTGCGCTGAGCGGACGCAGCCTCAAAGGCTTGGAACATCTCTGGCTCGTACTGAGGCACATGGGCATTCCTCGAGCCGCCGCCCTGATCGTTGCTGTGCTCGGCGAGGTCCTGACGAGGAGGGTAGGGAGAGACGTAGGGGCGAGGGAACCGCTCGTCCTTGGTCTGTCCACGGTCGTGCATGTAGCCGTTCTGAGGGTCGTACTCGGCAGGGTTCTGAGGGAGCGAGGCAGAAGAGGCAGCAGGGTGGTGGGACTGCGCGTGCTCTTCGCGGTTGTTGATGTGGGCTCCCTGGCGGCTGTAGTCCTCGGCGGCATGCTGACGAGCGGTCGAAGAGAAAGATGGAGCCTGGAACAGCTCTTTCTCAGGCTCGTAGGCTCCCTGGCGGTGCTGATCCTCGTTGGAAGGCTGACGAACAGGGGCAGAGGAAGAAGGGCGCTGCAACTGCTCGTTCTGAGGCGCGCGACTAGCAATCTGAGCTCCCTGGCGATGATGATCCTCGTTGGCCTGCTGGTGAGCAGAAGGACGGCGAGAGGGCTGCTGGTGACCAGAGCTGGCTGTGGAGGGGCGCTGAGTGTAGTCCGGAATGGTCGAAGGATGGCCAACGTAGCTGGGAGAAGGCGCGGCACTATGCTGCGCGGAAGTGTCGTAGCTGGGCGTCATCGCAACTGAGCTGCGGCGAGAGGACATCGAGACTGGATGATCCGAGTAGCGAGGCATGGCATGAGGATCAGGGCGCGCCGAGGTGGGTCGGTTTCCGACAGCGTAGTCAGAGTAGCCCATGTTCGACTGCTGCGACTGGGGGTACGGAGGGTCCTGGCCGTACTGCATGGCAGGTTGGTGACCGTAGCTCGTGGAGGGAGCACTCTGGTGCTGGCCAGTGTTATACGCTGCGTTAGCGTGGTGTCCCTGGTTGCCGGGGGCATGCTGGTTGCGGCTCTGATCGTAGCCCTGGTTGGCGTGGTTCTGATCGTAGGCACGGTTCTGGTTGGAGCTCTGGATGCTGCGGTTCTGGTTGTAGTAGCCCTGGGTAGCGTGGTTCTGCTCGTAGCCGCCGTTCTCGTAGTTCTGGGAGCCCTCGACGCGGTTCTGGTCGTGGTAGCCCTGAGTGGCCTGGTTCTGGTCGTAGCCAGGATCGTAGCCCCGGTTCTCGTGATTCTGGCCCTCGACGCTGCGGTTCTGATCGTAGGCACGGCTGCTAGAGCTCTGACCGTGGTAGCCCCGGCTGTCGTCACTTCGACCCTGGCACTGGTTGATGTACTGTTGACACTGGGCGGCGTACTCCCGCTCGTAGTATTCACGGTTCTTGGCGCTCTGATCCCAGTAGGTCTCGGAGTTGGGGCCATTATCAAATTCTTGGGGGTTGGCGGTCTGGCCGTAGTACTCGCGCCCTTGGTTGTAGTGGCCCTGGTAGCCAGAGTTCTGATCGTACGAAGTCTGGGCTCTGGGGCCCTGATCGTAGTAGCCGTGGCTACCAGAATCCTGTCCGTAGTGGCCCTGCATTCTGGGACCCTGGTCATAGAAAGGCTGACGGCTGGATTGCTGTCCGTAATAAGCCTGGTGGGTTCTGGGGCCCTGGTCATAGTAGCCGTTGGTCCCGAGAGGAGTCGTCATTCGAGCGCGTTCCTGGTGCGGCTGCCGACCACGCTGAGAGAGCCTGGGGCTGTCGTACGGGTGAGCACGGAAGTCGCGGTTCCGCGTGACAGCCTTGGGAGGGCGAGGGGGCAGCGTCGAGCGCTCCTGCGACATGTTGCGCTGGGGCACCAAGCCGGGGTCGTGAGGGTTCATGTCAGCCACAGGGGCCGAGAGAGTAGGTCGCTGACCTGCAGCACGCTTGACAGCGCGAGTAGCAGTCTCAATCTGCTGGTCCCGAGCAAAGGTGCGAAGGTCGTTGTCAACATCGACAACATCGTCATCCTCTGCCTCGGCGTCTTCGTCACCTCCATCATCAATGTAGTCTCCGTCGTTGTGGTCGGTTCCCTCAGAGAAGATGGTCTCGTTCTCTTCGTCAGTGGTCTCGCCGGTATGCTTGTCGAAGCTGTCCTGAACCTGGGCATCCTGGGAAGGAACAGACGCCTCACCCTGCGACTGACTCTTCTTGAGCAAGGCTATGGCCCTCTTCGCCTCGTGTACGTATGGAGCTGCAAAGGGTGAGAAACGCATCTTGTCGTGATTCTGGAAGAAATGCTCCACTGTCTGATTGTTAGCATGGCAAGTATGTCGACGAAATGTGCTGAACGTACCAAGACTGAGATGAGTGTATTGGCGCTTGGCATTGGGGCCCATCTCCCGCTGCATAATGACGGCCAGCTCTTCCCAAGATCTGGGCGAGCCACCAACCCCTTTCGCCGAAAGAGGGACGATGGAACGCCAGAAGACGCGCTCTTCCTCTTTGCTCCACGCTTTGCCGGGCATGTTGGCGTGGTGCAGGATTGTCGCGATAGGCGGGGGCTGTAGTGGTAGAAAGCTCTCGGGGGGATTCTCGCGAGATGGCAATTCTTGCCAGATGGAGGGCTTCTCTTCGTCTGGTGTGTGATTTTCAGGAAGGAACGGCCGCCAAGTCACAGATGATGGCGGTCTGTCGAAAAGAAGAATGATGCTGTGGGTTGGATATCCGGAATTATTTTTTCGGAAGAATTTTGTGCGGCAAGAAGTAAAAGCGAGTCAAGTACGTGCTCGCGTCGAATGTAGGAAGGAATAAGTATGCCCTGAGGAAGTAGGAGTGGCCGGACTCCTGTAGGCGGGTGGTAGGTTGATATTTATATTGTGGGCGGTTGAGGTGGCCGTGATGGGCGAGGTGACCCAAAGGTAGTGAATAGGTGATGCGGTGGAATCATGATGCGGTCGAAAGGTGATGAGACGGAAGGGTGATGGGACGGTAGGCCACCTTTTCCACCCAAAGCAACTCTTCTGGTCGTGATGCGACGAAATCCCAAGAGGTTGCGGTGAATTGGTGATGCGGTAGAAACATGATGCGACGGAAGGGCGATGTGGTCGAAAGGTGATGTGGTGGAAGGGTTTTGCGACGGAAAGGTGATGCAATAGAAGGGCTATGCGACAGAAGACTGATGCGATAGAGTGATGATGCGGTCAAGAGTCGATGCGGTGAATAGGTTGTGCGATGGATTGGTGATGCGACGAAAGGTGAGTGCGATGAAAGATTGGACGAGTGATGGCGTGCTGGGAAGGAGCAACGGAGACGAGGTCCGGTATCATGGCCGTATTCGAGCAGGACAAGTCCATCACAAACGATGGAACCATGGACAGATCTTCAGGAGACGAAAGCAAGCATCCATGTACAGAGTCGAGGCCTTGGGTGTGGATGGTGACCCAAAGGTGGCTGTGAGGATTTTGAATCGGCGAAATGTTCAGCATCCATCAAAATGTGCAATTGGGACAACCGAGTGTGCTTCAAGCCATCCTGAGCAAGCAGAGATTTGGGACTCCAACCGGTTCTCGGATACGCCAAAGACAACCCAGCAGACGGCCCTGCCGCTGAGTTAACCGAATTCCATCTGTTGCTGAACCATCTGCTGAACCGTCTTCGGCATGCTGCCATTCGAACAGGTGCATCGAGCTACCCTCGGCAGATCGTAACAACGAAGCTATTCTGCTGCTCACAGGACCCGTTGGCACATCAAAGTCGTCAGCAAAGGGCCTGTGGAAAGTTGAAGCTGAACTCTCTTTGAAGTTGCAGAACTTCGACTGAGACGAGCAGCACAACGCCGCACTGAGCTCTTTGAACCCAGATCGAAGGTCCAATTGGAAAATAGCCTACTCAAAAGGGCTCTGAGGGTCTGCTGCTTTGTACCCCCTGGCAGTCAATGCTGCTGCCAGCCGCCATTCAAGTCTCGAGAGCTGTCACCAAGTTAGAAACCCATTGCCTGACTAAAAGGGGGCGAATACCAACAATGCTCTTCTTCTCGGGAGCAACAACACCCTCTCTGATCCAGAATCCCCAGCCGCCCATCATGTTGGCCAGCATCATGTCCGTGGTCAAGCGATCGCCGACGACGGCAACCTGCGACGGATGGGAGACGCCCGTTTCGGGGTGCTTGCGGAAGTACTCCATGATCTCGGAGCCACAGCCGGGCTTCTTCGTCTTGTGAGGCAAGACGGTAATGCCGGTGGCCTCTTCGAGCTCCCTGGCCAGCTTGAGCGAGCTGTCATAGGACGTCGCTCCGGCCGTATTGGAGACGATAACCAGCCGGCGGCCGGGATACGCGGCCTTGAGCTGCTCGAAGCGCTCCTTGATGATGATTCAGCGGGCTGGAAAGCTTGGGTGAAGCAAGCAGTGACATACCTTGTAAGGCTTGTGGACCTCATTTGTGTGGGGAACCGCGAAGCAGTCGTCCTTGTCGAGCACCACGGCCCTGATGTCGCATTTCCGATTCTGGCCCTCAAAGGCTTTTTCGAACGGGATGGGGAGGTCGTTGAACGTCGCGACCGTATGCTGCGGCAGACACAGCGTGGGCTTGAACAGAAGCTTGAATACGTTCACCGTGCCAGAGAGGTTGAGATTCATCTTGGTGATGGGCCCTTGGGGTAGGATGGGATTTGGGGGGAAGGAGGTGAAGTTCTTGGTTGGACAGAGGAAGGGCCGGAGAGATTTGGACCATGCGGGGAGCTTGGGCCACCTGCAGAATGCGCAACAGCTACCCCTGTCCGTATGATAAGATAAGCACCACGGGCCCCACCGTAGTGACACCGGACAACTCAATTAGACACCCGGGACCCACTCGGCCGCCTCCCTGTCCGACTGCACATTTTCGCGTCCCCAGCGCGTCGTCTCCGGTTGCCGTGCCGTCGAAAGCCGCAAAAATATTGACCACCACCCACGCCCATTGAACCAGCACGTCAGCAAAAGCAACGACAGCAAACCAAGAGACGCAACACAATGTCCAGGAAAAGACCGCAAGAAGCAGACGTGGGCGATTCCCCCAGCAGCAGACTGAGCCAGAAGCGCTCCCGCCAACAGCTGCATGACGGAGCCGACGACGAGCCCATCAACGGGACCCCCTCGAAGCGGAGGCGCCAGGCAGCGGACCCTTACGAAGTGCCCTCTGACAGCGATGCCGCCGATGGTGATGATGGCGAAGCTTCAGCGGCAACGGCAGCAGCAGCAGCAGCAGACCCCGAATCCGAACCCGAAGAACACACCCCGAAAAAGAAACGAGGCCGCCCACCGAAATCAGCAACGCCTCAAGGCAGCGGTGCCGTCACGCCCTCGAAGCTGCGCCGGGTGAACACGCTGGTGACGCCCGTCAAGGCCGCCATCACACCGCGGCGGCGCCAGGCCGCGGACCGCTCCGCACGGAGGAAGAGCGCCAGGGCTCTGATCCAGAGCATTGTCGCCGACGAGGACAGCGACGAGGACGAGGGTCTAGCACGCGAGATTTACGAGTCGAGCGAGGAGGAGGAAGAGGAGGAAGAGGCCGAGGAACAGAGGACACCGCGGGCAAAGACGACAACATCGGCGACGAAACCATCCACAACATCAGCACCAGCATCAACATCACAACCCCCCGAGCCAGAAACACCATCAGCAACGACCCCCCGCCGCCGCGGCCGCCCGCGCAAGCTCCCGCCCCCGAAATCGCCCACCCCGCCCCGCGAACTGCCCCCCCACGAAATCTACTTTGAGCACAACAAGCCCGGCCGCGCAAAGACGTCCCACAACACCCTCGCCTCCCTCAACCTCCTCACGCACGAAGAGTACTTTGACCTCCTGCGTGCGTCCGCCGAAAGCCAAAAAGACCCCCATGCAGACGACCTCGTCTACCTCGAGTCCCTCCACGAATCCTCCTTTCCGCAGTGGCGCTTCGAGCTCGCACAAGGCTTCAGCCTCTGCCTGTACGGCCAGGGCTCCAAACGCAGCCTCGTCGCCAAACTCGCGGCGCACCTCTACGCCGCGGACCCGGAGGCGCCCATCGTCGTGGTCAACGGCCACGTGCGCTCTCTAACAGCCCGCGAAGTCTTTTCCACCGTCGCGGCGGCGCTCGATCCGGCGCTGAAACTACCCGCCCAGACGACGGCCATGGTCCAGGCCCTCTCCTCGGCCCTCACATCTCGGTCTACATCAGCATCACAAAATCGCAAACCCATAACAATCCTCCTCCACTCCATAGACGCCCACCCCCTCCGCAAACAAGCAACCCAACAACTCCTCTCCCAACTCGCCTCCCTCCCCCACATCCGCCTCGTCGCAACAGCAGACACGCCCTCCTTCCCCCTCCTCTGGGACGCCGCCCAGCGCACATCCTTCAACTTCCTCTTCCACGACGCCACCACCCTCCAACCCCTACAGGATGTCGAACTCGACCCCGTAGATGAGGTCCACGAGCTCCTCGGCCGCAAGGACCGGCGCGTCAACGGCAAAGACGGCGTCGTCTTTGTGCTGCGCTCGTTGCCCGAGAACGCAAAGAAGCTGTTCGAGTTGCTCGTCATCGAGGTCCTGTCCGCCATGGACGATGACGGCGGTGGTGGTGGGCAGCAGTATGGGGCGGAGAATCCGGGTGTCGAGTATCGGATGGTGTATAATAAGGCCGTGGAGGATTTCATTTGCAGTTCCGAGATGGCGTTCCGGACGCTGCTGAAGGAGTATGGCCCCCTATCTTTGGTGCATATGTGAAGCAGAAAGCTAACGTGAACAGGTTCCACGACCATCAAATCATTGAGAGCAGGAAGGACGCTCTCGGCACGGAGCTCTTGAGTATCCCCTTTAGGCGGGAGGAGCTCGAGGCCATTCTCGAGGACTTGATGTCATGAGTTGGCCGTTACATACTTATAAATCATTGTACATCTAAAGCATTCAGGAGGGCAAAAGCATACTGGCGTTATCTGACATCTGTAGCTCCTCCGGGACGATTCACGCAAATCACATAGCACATAGACAGGCATGAGAATCAAGGCGTTGCATTCATAATCATGATCACCCATGTTCTAGGAGTATTTTGTAAAGAAGAAATACCAAACCCATCTCGTGAAACCCTGGACCCCCTTGAAAACGCCAGCCCATAACAACCCCCTCCCTACACCCCGATACTTTTAACACACGTCCAGAGGACCACCGGCACAATAACGTTATCGTTTCCACCGGTCAAGACTGCCTCCGTCAAGCTCGCCATGCTGGCGCAAAAGCCGGCGTTCCGCGCCGACGTGGGCCACCCCACATGCTGCTCCGCTGCGACGGACCACCCGCCAACCCGAAGCCAGGTCGTTGCCGCCATGAGCCCAAGGAACACGGCCACCGCGAACGCGACGCTTCCCTCGAGACTCTTGCCGCCGCCCCAGACCCATTTCCTGTGCCCGTACCGCCTGCCAATAAGAGACGCTGCCGCGTCGCCGAGGCCGACGCAGATGACGCCCGCCACCATACTAACTTCGCGCGTGGGCACCTCCCACCCGGTCAAGTAGCTGCTGCCAGAGCGCGGAAGGGTGGCGAGGGACAGCCAGAGAGGGATGGCGCACCCGATGAGCAGAAACAGATGGGAGATGACGACGGGCCCCTTGTGGTCTCGGCCATCCACGTATGGCGTGAGGAAGGAGGCGATGGGCCGCGACAGCGGTGGGAGTTGACTCGCCCGCAAGAGGTCGAGAATGAGAAAGATGGCGAGGACGAGCGACAGTGCCAAGGCCGCAAAGACGGGGTCGACAAAGGTCGCAGGGAGGAACATGCCGACCATCATGAAGTGGAACACCTTTCGCCTCGTGTCCACCTCGTACTTGGGGTCCAGGCGGATGACCACAGTCAAGCCTACAATAACAATGGCAAGCCAGTACGCTGCCATCAAGAGCCGCGTGTTGGCTTCACCAAAGTCGGAGAGCCGAATGTGCTGCACCCAGCCCTGGTGGCAGGACGCCTTTGCAGCGTCCTCGCCCAGGCGTGCAGGTAGGCAAATCCATCTCTCGAGGTTCGCTTCGACCACTTTGAACCTAAACCACGGCAGCTCGCCAAAGAGATACCCCAACGCCCAACCGACGGGCTCGTTACCCAGCAGAGCATGGCGACCAATGTACTCTCGCACAGGCACCAAAATGATGAGCACAATACAAGTGTAGACGTACGTCGCGTACGACCACTTTCTCATAGTTGCTTGCGCTTCTGTCAACTTGAAGAATGAGCGAACGGTAGTCGAAGCGGTGCGTTTCCTTCGGCCCGCTGACGTGTGTGTCAGAGACCGCCTCGGCCGCTGCAAAGCATACGGAAACGTGTTGCGTCGTCCGGCGGCGAACCCGTCTGGTGATGCTGGGGCTTTGCCATCGGGAGAGGCGCTCATCTTGCGCTCTCCCCGGGAAGGCATATCGGCCATGCCAAACGTCCGGACTCTCATGGGCTTCGCAAAGGGTCCGTTTATGATTTCCTCTTCTGAATCGCCCAGTTCAGATGCCGACTCCTCCAATGATGAGCCCAGCAGCTCGTGCTTGAAGCGCCGCATAGAGAGCCCCTCGGAGAGGAACCCAAAGACGGATGACTTTTTTGACGGGTTCACAACGCGCCTGAAGCGCAGCCTTGGAACCCTAGCCAAGGCGATCCCCCATCGAATCACCGGTCCGCAGACGACGAGCACGCCCACGCCGCCTCCCCAGAGCAGCGCTTGTAGAATGGTGACCTGCGGCGAGTGGGCGAGGAGGAGCACATTGATCAGGGCGATGGAGAGCAGCTGCAGCTCAGCCGTGAGCAGGCTCGTCGTAGTAAGATAGTGCAGCACTTCCAGCAGCGTCTGGTGCAGCGGGTACAGGAGAACAGCCGTCTCTGGGCTGATGCTTGGTCTGGATAGTGTCGCTCCCGGGTGTTGCTGCGAAAGCCACATGGGAAAGCAGGACAGAACCCATTGCAGGGGGTTGATGGCTTCGTGAGCGCGAGCCGTCGGGATTAAGTATTTGGGTATCGAAGAAATGCTCAGAATAATGTTTGTAAGGACGACCGCCTGGTTGTCCGGAGATATTAATAACGCCACGAGGAGCGTCACAGACGGCGGATACAAAATGGGCGCAGGGTCAAAGACGGTGGGCACGGCAATGGCTGGCTTTTTGGAGGAAGGCCTGTGGCGGGTTGACCATGCGAAGAGTCGGATCGGATAGAGGATCATGAGAGAGGTGATAAGCGTGGCTGGGAAGCGCAATTCTGTACATGTGAGTTTTGCGTTCCAAGACCTGGGATCTGATAGCATACCTCTGCTCCACGCGGTGAAGAGTGGCTTCACCAACGCATTCGAGCGAACCACTGCAAAGAGCGAACCGACAATGATGAACTCTGACACGCGCCGGATGAGCTCCTTTGTACGGCGGTAGTTGCGCTCGTTGAGGAACCTGCGGGCCTCTTTCCGATCCTCCTTTTCCTTTTGCTTCCGCAGAGCATCTTCCTCCTGGTCTGGAGAGAAGAGGGGCGTCGACGAGCCCGAGAGCACCTCGTTCCGGCCCCTCAGCCCCTTGTGCAGGCGGACCTTGGGCGCCGGCAGCCCCTTGAGAAAGTGCTCATCGTCGGCCTCGGTACCACTGTCGCTACCCTGGGAAGAGTCCTTGGCAAACGATGGAAAGGGAGACGGGGTTCGGCTCGAGTCTGTTGATGATGTCCTCGGCGGCGTCGGTGCGGAATTGGGCGGCTTATAGACTAGACGGTGGGCGGGATGAGGGAGCTCGGTATTGAGGTGGTGATAGGGATGCGGGGAGCGGCTGAGAGATCGGATTTCATCGTTTGCTTCTGTATCGTGGCCGAAGAGAGCGTTCGGTTCGAGATGCGCGGGCATGGCGGAGCTATCGCATTGGAGACGAGTACCAGCATTCGTTTACTGGGGATCGGGAATCACTTTGTTGGCGATGCTGGGCAACATGGAATTGGGACGCAGGGCTGTCGCGGGGTGATTGGGGGGCGTCGCAACGATGATGGTGTTTCTTTCACGTCAGGCCGCGAGTGACAGAGGCTGGGGAACAAGTTGACGGCGAGGCGGCGGTTGTGGGGAGCTCCATCACATGAAAGATGCGAATTGGCAGCTGTGTTGTCATCTGGGAGACTGGGCTGGCTGGGGTTAGTGGGCTGTCTGCCAGCGTCAGTCTCTGTTGGGAAAGCGGTCCATCAGCCGCGCGGCGCCAGGGAGGAATGCGCCAACGCGAGTGGACAGCGGGTGCAGGCAGTGACAGCGACAGACAGCAGACAGATCCCACCGCATTTCACAAGGCGCACGAGCCACAGGGCCAAACAGCACAGCCTGTCACCTCCTGTGGCTGAGCGAGCTTCTCTTGCGAATGCTTCTCTTGGCGGGGCACTCGGGGGTCGCAAGCGTGTCTTCCGGGTACCGAACGTCGGCTTACCTAAGGTACTTGCAGCCATGTATTCGGCCTCCAAGGTGAGGTACCTGAGGATGTCTCCCGCCCCGGGACCGAAGGCGAGAATCAAAAGCCGTCGACCATCTTTCTTCCACAAGTATGAAGAGGCTGACGAGAGACACACCGCGATCAAGCTCACCATCATCAAACGCGCCCACCTCAGGGACGTTCCAGACGTGATCCCAGACGTCGGTGACCTCATTTCCCGACACTCAACCATGGTAGCCTCCATTCGGGAGCCTCTATGCGGCGGACATTGCCAGATCCTGCAGGCATGGCCTGGCCTGACGCCTCGAGAAAAGAGCAATGTTGACGTCGCAGTGTCATTCTTAAGTAATCTCAACCACAAACAAGACAAACGCGCGACACGGCACAGGCCAAGCCAGAGTGGAATCAGCCTTCAGCCCTTCACGAGATGAAAAAAAGTCAATTGGACCTGTCAGGCCAGCCGCCAGCCGTGCCAACCTGGTGCCGTCGGCTCGGACATGCTGTGGTGGACTTGTAGTGACGCCAGGCTCTATCAATCTGCTGCTCGCGACCTCACGATGATGCACATGTAGTCCACCCGCGGAGAGAAAGGGCAGGCACGCAGGCTGCGACGTTGCGATATGGTGGGCTACTGACATAATCGACGTCTCCAGTCTCCAGACCAAAATTGGAGCATCCCAGGTGGGTGCTGTTCGCATCTCAACGTCGGTCTGCAGCATCGCCCTAGATCGTCGACATCGCATCTGATGGTCCTCACACTTGTTGGGCGTCGCAAGCCTACACGGTACTGCTGCAGCACTGCTACTAAACAATGCCAAAAATAACAATCAATCGGAGAATCAACAGGCAAGCCACAAACCACCAGATCGTGGGGCACCGCTGACCGTTTCCCAATCCGGACGCCACCATCTTTATTTTGTCCCGTCAGTGCCCGTCAAACGTACGAATAGCGAGTTGGTACATCTGCCTCAGCCTCCTCGCCTCCCGCTAGCATCCGGATGCTCTAGCGGGCCACGAAGCCTGCATCGGCATCGACGAGTGCGAAAAAGGGTTGAGGCCCCGGCACTCGGCTGCCCGACCGCCCCAGCACCCGTCATTCGAGAGTCTCGAGGATGAGGGCCGCATCTCGTATTACCTGGTCCCTGCAGCGGGTCGAGGATTGGCTGGCAGGGACTGGGGACATGCTGTAGAGACAGCTGCACTGGGCCGCTCCCCCAAACCGGACGCTGGGCAGAAAAAAAAGTCAAAAATACGAGTCGATCAGTCACTCGATTGTGGACAGCGACTACGGAGTCTTCACCGCGAATAGGGACGAGAGGGTCTGATAGGTGACGGCTCGCTGTTTCAAACGCACGCAAACAGAACGTCAAACGGGTCAGACGGGCTAGGAAACCCATACGGGCGGCTTCAGGTGCGCAACGCTCCAAACGGGCGACCATCACAGCCACCTCCACGTACTCCGTACCGGTCTTGTAGACTCCCAGAGGTAACACAAACGAAAATCTCCAGATCAGGCGGAGTGAGCCCGCACACGTTGTACAGTTGCACCTCGCCGTTTGACGTGTTCCACACCAAATTCAGGTGCGACGAAGTTCAGGGGAGATGGCTCTCTTATGCAAAGAGGTTCTATCGAGCAATGGACGACAGGCGGACCACAAAGACAGACGCAGAGGGGGTGATATTGAGGCTCTATTGACGGGAGAGGCAAGCGAAAAGCAAAGATGGTCTTATCAGCTCCCTTAGGGCACCATGCCTGCAAAGCTGACCGGACCGGCAGTGGGTTCGTAATCGACCTGCATGCAGTGCCAGCGCGGTGGGTGTCGCAAAGATGCTGCAGCACACCGCACCAAGTTTCCAAGACCCCCGGACACTCGCTAGGGCGGCTGGGTGCAGGCCCCGACAGTCAGCTTCCCCCTCCCCTCCCAGGAGCCAACGATGCGAGGATGGAGGCAATTGGACGAGAAACCCCCATGGTCTGACTGATCACCAAAAGTCTTGCATGTGTGGATGGCGCGAAAGTCACCGAGTGCGGCACCATCGCGGGGCATCTGAAGTTGGCAAACACCAGACGCTCGTATCGCGGCGTAGCGTAGGCTGCGTAGCACACGTTGTACACATTTACGCAACACCTACTCCAGTCGCTGCCTCGCCCAGCATGTGCAAATGTGTGGGACAATGAATCAGACTGGCGATGGGCTCGGAGACGATACGAGACGCCGCTGCTCTCCTGCTATTGGTGATGTCACAATCCACTCGACGGCAGCACCGGGCTGACTCTTTGGAAAAAAAAAAACATGAGCCAAGTGGCTTTTGGGCCAGTGGATATCAGGGAACGGAAAGACATTGCCTAGCGCAGAGGCCACGCCCGGAGGAATTAATGGGCTTTGGACATTCCCGGCCAAAATTGGGACAAGAGGAGCAAAATATTATTCAATATCGACTGGAGCCGAGGATGGACGCTGCGCCTGACGATCCCTGTGCGGCGAGCTGCTGCAGACTACAGTCTCCAAAGGCTGTCCCGGCACGCCGCAGACGCGATGGACACCAGTGACGAGCGACAGCGATGCAAGATGGAGATGGACTGATGAAATGGGAAGCTCGCTTTTGGTTCACAGCGGAGAGGGTTACACTGGGCCTTGTCGACCGGGGCTCGGCTCGTCACTGTTCAGTCCACAGTCGACAGTCCACAATGACAGCTACGCCGTCAGCTAGAACGGATCCATGGAAGCAATGGGACGGATAGCTCGAGTTGGGCCGACAGGACAGGGGTACGTCGTTGGGGCGGCGAAACAGGGAATCTTTATATGCACAAAGATGTGTTGCCCCCAGCCGACTGGGCGACGCCAATGTGCATTCTGCCTGGGACGATCTTCAACAGGTTTAAACGTCAATCCCCTTTGCTCGCTCGCCTCTGCCAGTTCTCATCTGATCATCCTCCGGTCACTGTTCTACTACGACGCTCGCTCGCCTTTGCTGCTGTCCATCGCCACCTACAACACGGTAGACTCTCGTCACCCCAGCTTGTTCAGAGTTGTTCACATTCCAAGCACAAGTCTCAGGCTCGTGAAATTGGCGGGACTGCGCAACAATCTACACACATACCTATCGCCCAGTGTCAGCTTCGATCCATTGGACGGGTACGCAGTAGTTTCCCGCTCCGTCCATTCTCAAACGATAAACATTCAGCAGCAAGGTTTTTTCTTTGCTTTTGATACCGAACCCCGGGGACCGCAAAAGAAGCGCGCGGCGTGCCTCAAGCCGACCCTCACCTCCCAAAAGCTGTTAGCTCGACGGGTCTCACTACGCAGAAAACTCCATCCTTGGCCTCACACCCCCAACCACCCACCAGACAAAAGTGTTTCGGCCGGCCAGGTACCACCGCTCATCCAACCTTTTAGATCGCCTCTCGCCCCTCTTCTTCACATCAGAAACGGAGGCCGCTTGCGACCTATACATTACCTGCAAGCCTTCTCTTTGAACCTGTTGAGCCATTGGATCTTTCCCCCCCTCTCTTCCATCTTTCGCCGCCTTTTGCTGCAGCCGGGATACTAAACAGACCCTCACTCGCTGTGTGTAACTTCACACTTGGTCCCCTGCACACCTACTTCCGCGTCCATCCATTGGACATTCACAGCTGTCGTTTCCGTCCTGCCGTCTTGGGTGTTTGTAACCTTCCTGGCCTCTTGGTCCTGTCTATAAACAACCCGGAGCACCTCACACATCTCGCCATCATGACTTTCAACACAAAGTACGACCAACACCTAGAAGAGGGATTGCTGCCCGTTGCTGTCAACGAAAAGGGGACCACGACGACACCATCATCACACAGGACGCCAACCAAAATGACTGCTGCACGCCGTCTTCTGCTCACCGTCTTGGTGTGCGGATTGATGACACTCAGTCTCGCCTCGGCCATTGGTCACCGGGCAAGACCTTGCACGAGAGATCATCAGGAACAGGTCCTGGTGGCAGAGGGCGAGGTCAAGGACGCCGCCAAAGTGGATCTCATTCACAGGCTCCTCCACGCCTACTTCCCCGACCGCTACCAGGATGGTGTCTATGCCTCGGACAAGGAAGCCATTGCTGCTTTCCAGGCGGACGACGCGGAGCTGGCTTCTGCTCTCGGTCAGCTAGAGAAGCGTCAGGACAATGGCACCTCGAGCGCTGCTCCGGCTGCCACTCCTACGCCCTCCGCCTCCGAGGCTTCCACGCCCTCCGCCTCGTCCGCGCCGCCGGCCAGTGACACTCCGACCCCGACCCCGACCCCGACCCCGACTCCAACCCCGACACCGTCTACTCCGGCCACCACCTCCGCTGCTCCCCCGGCGTCCTCCTCCGCCGAGGTCCAGCAGTCCTCCAGCGCGCCGCAGCAGACTTCGGCAGCGCAGACCACGCCCCAGCAGTCATCGCAACAACCCGCCGCCTCAAGCACCCCCACGACGCAACAGACCTCAGCAGCAGCAGCCCCTACTTCTGGTACGTCTCAATCGGAGCCGCAGCAAGCATCTCCCTCTTCTACTCCTGTTGGGCCGTCCACCGTCTCTACTGAGTCTCCTCCGACGACCAGTGGGTCTCCTCCCTCTTCTTCTTCTTCTCCCCCTCCCCCTTCTTCTGCCCCCTCGTCCGCTCCCACCACGGTCTCCCCGGGGTCTTCGAGTGCGTCCGCGCCGGGTACGTCTGCTTCCCCTTCTCCTGAGACTACTACGGTCGTGACAACCTCGTCCCCCACGGTGTCCACCGAGCCCGCTTCGTCGACTGTGTCTGTATCTGGTATGTTTGGTTTTGTAGCGCTCGATCATGTTAGCCCGGGATTTCGTTTGAACTTTTCAATAGCTTCGCATCATTTTCTTTCATCCATTTGCATCCAGCTGCTAACAAACCATCAGGCACCACCCGCCAAGGCACCACCACCACACGCAGCACGCCCCGGACCACCTCGTACAGCGAGGTCAAGTCCACCTTCACGTCGACCGCCTCCAACGGCGACGTTGTCCTCGTGACTGCCACGTCCTTTGTCGCCGTCGATCCCGAAGCCGCCGCCACCTCGGCCGGTTCCAGCGGCAGCAGCGGCAGTGGCGGTCTGCAAAACGTTGCCGTACCCATCGGCAGCATCTCCGTCCTGCCCATTGGTCTCGCCGCGTTTGTAGCCGGCGCCATGCTCTTGCTGTAATACGGCCGGACAACGTTCAGCACGACTCGAACGTCTACAGCGTTCATCATCGTCCGTGTTGACGACTTTCTGTTTAAATATTTAATCCATTCCCTTTTTTTTTTTTTGGGCAGCGGGTTCGGTTGGTCGGGCGGCACACACACACATACACATCAGCATCAACACTTACTTACGACGTTTTAACGGTCTATTCACTCCTTGCATACAAAACTGGTGGGCACAGCACAACAATCGACTCAAACGACACATAGACTACGCGCGGCCAATGGCGCCGAACTTTTGATTTTTTTTCGATGGGAGAGGGGTAATAGAATGGGAGGCACACTGAGAAACATCGTGGCCTCGGCAGCAGAGGAGGGTGCCAAGGGAGAAGAAGCGGAAGCGGAAGAAAACAGGCCATCATCACGATGGGGTAAACCTGAAATGTTAGTACAGTTGCTTGACGGCCATCAAAGGGCTGGAGAAACAGACAACACAAGAAGAATTTCGTGCAAAAAAGAATGAAAACAAAGCATTTGACACGCACTTACATTTTGCGTTGAGACATGGTCCCCGCATTCCATCACACGTTCGAGAGTTTGTTTTCGCCTACCGTGTTTGATTGCGGGACCTACCGCATTCCAACGTAGTCTTGGCGGGGTGTGTTTGATCATTTGCTGCTCAGATGCCAGGTGTCAGATGGGTAATTTGTGTTTTGCTGGTGTCTTGGTTGTTTCCGCGGTGTCATCTCTTTGCATCAAGGGAGGGTGACTCTGTGGCAGCATGACAATTATGTAGCACCGGCACCAGCAGCACCAGCAGCAACAGCAGCAACGCGAAATGATGGATGTGTTGCAATTTCCCATATTTTGGAAAGGGTATATACAATTAACGCCAAAATCAAAACTCCGTTTTCCCAGTCCATCCATCCATCCATCCATCCATCCAGGAAGCAAAGACCCAAGCAACACAAAAGCCCCCTTTCTCGACGGAGCAAAGGGTCTTAACCGGGTCCGATCTTGGGCATATCGTGATGCTCACTCAGCTTCGACAAGTATGTATTCAGCTCCTCGACGCGTTCCTTGTGCGTCTTGAGGAGCTCGGGGCGGGAGCTTGATGATTCTGCGAGTTCGAGGAGCTGTGTGTTTGGGCACAAGATGTCAGAATGGTTGATTGAATTTGGCCAACGAGGGCACATCTTGCCCAGGAAGAAACAAGGCAGGAAAAAAAGAAAAAAGAAACATACCCTCTTGCGCTTCCTCTCCTCATATCGCCTCTCCGCCTCCGTCTTTTGCACGACCCGGCCACTGCCCTGGTCGTCATCGTCGTCGTTATCCCGGTCCTCTTCGGGATCTTTGCTGTTCTTTTTCGATTTGGACTTTGATTTCGACGTATTCTCGTTGTCGTCGCCGGTTGATTCTTCGCGGTGCTTCACCAGCGCAGTACTGCTGCCATCATCGTCGCCGCCCGTCTCGAGGTTCTTTTCGAGGTCGGTCTTGTCGCGTCTCTTCTTCTTTTTCGGTTTGGTTACTTTGGCGCCCTTGAGCTTGAGGCCGCCGCCAACGGCGGATGCGTAGTCATCGAGCGGCATCGTGGGCACCGGGGCTGTCGGATGCGGTGGTGGTGGTGTTTGTGGTGGTGGTGGTGGTGATGGACTCCCGCGTATTGCAGGTGGGACGGCGACGCGGATCCGAGCTTCCTTTTCCTTATGCCCCCGTCTGTCGGAGGCTTTCAGCTCTTCAAGGCCTCTTTGCCCCACTATCCCTTTGGATCCCCCCCCTGGCACTGCAGTCAGTGGCTTTGGTGGCTTTTTGTTCGTCGTGGAGCGGCTCAAAGAATTTCGGCTGCTTTGCCAAGTTGCGTGGTTGCTAATAAGGGGGCCCCCTGTCCCAAAGTCTTTGCGCCCCATACTCTTAAACCGGTGGCAGGCGCCAAGATGTGATTCGCTCTGCCCGTGCCGCGGATCTCGATGGGGGGCCAATCAAGGGTTGATCCGCGTACTTTTTGCTCGTGGGCCCGTGCGGGTGCGAAACAGCTGCTGTGGTGCTGTGCTGCTGTGCTGCTGTGGTACTGTAGTGCTGGCGGTGGAAGTCAACAATGTGGAAGCGCAGCCAAATTGCAGTAAAACTGCCCCCTTTGAATCAAAAGATACTTCCCGGTCTGGTAGAGTGGAAAGGTGACTTGGCTGATGCTTGACTTGACTTGACTTGACTTGACTCGAATAGTTCGTCACTGGAACCCTTGATTCTGCCGTCCACAACCCAGTCTTGCCAGTTCAGACTCCCACTCCCAGGGGCCATTGTTGCATCTGGATGCCACCTTGTTCTCGGCGCAACTCAATCTTTCTTTCTTCCCTCTTTTGTTCATCCGCCTCAACCTTAATCCGCACAACTCCCGTCACCAGCACTTTCTACCGATACGTACGACCCCGGACACCACATCTCCTCACCCAACCCCCATTTGTTCCGTTCACCAATCTTATTCGGACATCAACCACAACCAAGCATACCGACACCAGCTGGATGTTTACTTTCCTCTCCGCTTCTTCCCCCCTGGATCGTTAGTCTGTTTCGGTTTCCGCGTGTAGGGAAGTGGGTATAGAGAGCCCTGAAGAGAGAGAGAGAGAGAGAGAGAGCGCGCAAGAGACGGGCCCGGCGCAACTTTGTCACGACTCCTTTAAACGAAACGTATATGCCAACGACGTCACGAAATTCCCTAAAGACACCGCTACTCTAATACCCACAATACTCGAGGGCACCCGATCACGTACACTCCATTGGACTCCCACATTGGCCGCTGCAACATGCGATAGCCCCCGAACGCTCGAACGCTCGAACAAAATCCAGGTCGAGAGTGCTCCCTCGACACCCCCATTCAAACACCCACCATGCCGCCCTACGCTAATGTCCAATCCCATCGCGACTCCCTCGAGCTCGCCTCCCTCGCCTCCTCCTCCCGCGCCGACTCCATCGCCTCAGAGATCCCCTCCTCACGGCCCTCCATCTCCTCCTCCCGCAAGCTCTCCTTTGACGCCGAAGACCCCCTAGACGCCGCGAACCCGGCCGCCGCCGCCTCCTCAGGGAGACCGAACCGCCATGATCGCTCCTACTCTGTCTCCTCGGGCTTCGACTTCGCCGCGAACCTCTTCCCCCTGAGCTCCACAGCCGGCGCGGGCGGCGCGGGCGGCTACGCACCCATCGGCGCGCCCACCTCGACCGCGATACAAAACGGCGGCCTCGGCGGCGGCAGCTTGGAGAAGCACAAGACGCTCACCTACCTCAACGGCCTGAGTCTCATCGTGGGCCTCATCATAGGGAGCGGTATCTTTTCGAGCCCGAGCCAGGTGAGCTCAAAAGTCGGCTCGCCCGGCGCCGCGCTCGTCGTCTGGGTCATTGCCGGCGTGCTGGCCTGGACAGGTGCGGCGAGCTACGCGGAGCTCGGCGGCGCGATACCTCTAAACGGCGGCGCGCAGGTCTACCTCGCCAAGATCATGGGCGAGATGGCCGGCTTCCTCTTCACCTGGGTGGCCGTGCTGGTGCTGAAGCCGGGCAGCGCCGCCATCATCGCCATCATCATGGGCGAGTACCTCGTGCGCGCGGCCATTGGCGCCGAGGCCGAGAGCCTCAGCCCCTGGGTCAACAAGGCCGTCGCCATGGTCGCCCTCGTCTCCGTCACGCTACTCAATTGCGTCTCGACAAAGCTCGGCACAAAAGTCAACGACTGGCTCATGTTTCTCAAGTTTATTGCGTTGCTGGGCGTCACTGTCACCGGCATCGTCGTCGCCATCACTGGCAAGACCGTCACGGGCAAGGCCAACATGGAGTGGAAGTCGCACGAGTGGTTCGAGGGCACCTCTACCGACCTCTCCGCCTGGGCCGTCGCCCTGTACGCGGGACTCTGGGCCTACGACGGCTGGGATAATGTAAGTTTTTTTTGTCCCGAGATTCTGGGCGCCGCTGACAGTTGCAGACAAACTACGTCGTCGGCGAGTTCCGTAACCCGAGCCGCGACCTCCCCCGCGTCATCCACACCGCCATGCCCCTCGTCATCCTCTCCTACGTCCTCGCCAACATTGCCTACTTCCTCGTCCTCCCCCTCGCGGCCGTCAACGCCTCCAACACGATCGCCGTCCAGTTCGGCGCAAAAGTCTTTGGCCCCGTCGGCTCCCTTGTCCTCGCCCTCGTCGTCTCGGCATCCTGCTTCGGCGCCCTCAACTCATCGACCTTTACCTCGTCGCGGCTGGTGTATGTGGCCGGCAAAGAGGGCTACATCCCGTCCGTCTTTGGCAGCATCGGCCTCTCCCGCAACGGCAACAGCAGCGGCGGTCACTCTGTCACCACATCCCGCACCTCCCGCAGCCGCCTCGCAAACCTCTTGATCCGCGCCCTCGGCGATGACGACATGGGCCTCTTCTACACTCCCGTCTGGGCCCTCGTGCTTAACGGCCTGCTGACGGCAGCCTACATCATTGTCGGCGAATTCGGCACCCTGCTGACCTTTTACGGCGTCGCCGGGTATACGTTTTACTTTATCACGGTGCTGGGCCTCATCATCCTGCGCGTGCGCGAGCCGCAACTCGACAGGCCGTACCGGACGTGGATCACGACGCCCATCATTTTCTGTTGCGTTTCGCTGTTTCTGTTGAGCCGCGCCGTGTTCGCGCAGCCGCTGCAGACGGTGACGGTAGTGCTGTTTGTGGTGGCGGGCGTGCCGGTCTACTTTTGGCGGATCCGCGGGCGGGATCAGCAGGTTGTTAAGAGGGAGGTGAGGCATCGTGGGTACGATGAGGAGGGGGAGAGGTCGTGGTGGCAGTTTTGGAAGAGGTCATGATGCGAGCCCGGAGGGCGAGCAAGGTCATTGAAAGAGAGGGGGAGAGAGAGAAACAGAAGCCATGGCTTGGAAGTTAACGCTCCTGCTTCTGGGTACATGTCCGAGAGGTCCTTTTTTATCAATTTTGCATATCGCCGCCATACGGCGAATGGCGCGCGTATTGGGGGGGATGATGGGGATTCCCGTCCCGAGGAGTTTTTTTGTTTTTTTTTTTGGATTCGAAAAAAAGAAGAGATATGCGGCGTCGGACGGGCCTGCTCGAGTCACGGCAGCCAAGGCTTTCTGGCATCAAAAAAGAGTATTTCTAGAGCGTGGAGGATCATGGCAGCCGTTTTCAGTTGGGAACAGAACAGCGTGGAGAGAGAGCCAACAAAGCGCGCGGCCTCGTGGGGAAAGATTCGTGGCAGAGTCGAAAACGATTGAAGATTAGAGCCACGAAAGTAACTTATGGTCCCCCCTTCTGGAATAGAAACAAATGTACAAGGAACTTCCTCAGGACCAAGTTCTGCGTGTGACTGCCGACGGCTCTCACACGATCGCGCCAAAGTTGCAAAGTCGAGTAGTCTTGAGCCCACTCGCCCGCGCCAGAGAGGTGTCCAAGGGCAAGATGTTTGCCCGCAAGGCTAGATTCTGCCAATGTCAAGTGGCCCGAAGCTCTCTTGCACTGACAGCCGAGAGCATCTGAAGCAGGCAGACAGGTCAATCAACTCAATCGATGCCAAGGGAGACAGATTTGCATCGCATCAGGTTATATTCCTATGTACGGCTAACCTAGGCTTCAAAAACACTACATGAAGCCCCTAAAATGCAAAATGCTGATGCTCAAAGAAAAACTACTAAAACAAACGCTAGATTTCCTTCACACACAACCTTTCATTGGGGGGTATGGTTTCCACTCCAAGCGAGACTTTCGGCTCGCTCACTTCTTCTCGCGCTGGCCGTACGCCTTGGTAGCGTAGTCGCCCTTGTGCACAATGAGATCCTCGGGCTTGTAGTCCTCGCGACCGCTCAGGTAGCTGTCGATGATGGCCTTTGTGCCGTCGGCGTAGCGCTTCTGCGCGTCGAGCGAGGTGCCCGACATGTGGGGCACCATGGCATTGCCGCCGCCGAAGGGGTTCTTGGCCGTGCGGAGGGGGTGGTCGCCGGGGGCGGGCTGGGGGAACCAGACGTCGCCGCCGTAGCCGGCGAGGTGGCCAGACTTGAGGGCGTCGGCGACGTCCTCCTTGACGATGATGGCGCCGCGGGCCGTGTTGATGAGGTAGGAGCCCTTCTTCATCTTGGCGATGAGGTCCTTGTTGAAGAGGCCGCGGGTCTTCTCGTGCAGGGGCGCGTTGATGGTGACGACGTCGCACTGGGCGAGCATCTCCTCGAGGTTCTCGACGCGGCGGCAGCCGATCTCGGCCTCCTTCTCGGCGGACAGGGGCTGGTAGTCGTAGTAGAGGAGCTCCTTGCAGTCAAAGGCCTTGAGACGGCGGAGGACGCGCTCGCCGATGCGGCCGATGGCGACGGTGCCGACGGTCTTGCCCTCGAGGTCGTACTCCTGCTTGGCGACGGCGGCGACGTCCCAGTCGCCGCGCTCAATCTGCTCGTGGGCGGGGACGAAGTTGCGGATGAGGACGAGGATGGTCATGACGACGTGCTCGGCGACGGAGACGACGTTGGAGCCGGTGACCTCGGCGACGGTGACGCCGCCGTTGGTCTTGTTGGCGGCATTGAGGTCGACGTGGTCGGAGCCGATGCCGGCGGTGACGGCGAGCTTGAGGTTCTTTGCCTTTGCGAGGCGCTCGGCGGTGAGGTAGCCGGGGTGGAAGCTGCCATTGTTAGTCCTTGATCAGAAATGCGTGGGTCAAGGGACTTACGGAGTGGTGATGATGATCTCGGCGTCGACGAGCTCCTGGTCAAACTTTGAGTTCTCACCCTCCTTGTCCGAGGTGGTGACCAGAGTGTGGCCCTGATCCTCGAGCCATTTGCGGATGCCGAGCTCGTTCTCGGTGGTTCCCAAAAGGCCGGGGACCTATTGTTGGTTCGTCAAGTCAGCGATCATTGTCTTGCAGGATAGATGCCATGTCTTCCAGGGATTGATGCCATGCACCCCGCATTGGGAGTTTCGGAGCTGCGCATCGCCAAGAAGTTGGGGGAAGGGGGGGGGGGGATGCTGGATGACGGGAGGGGGTTGCGCAAGGGCTGGGGAGGATGCCGATGTATCTGCGATCGACCTCCGAGCCCCGCACCTTCCCGTCATCCCCGCACTAAGCTCAGCCAAACGGCGGGGCAAAGCTCCGCCGGGAAGCTATCATGGTGACGTTCCTGGCGGGTGTGGATGCGGTTGTCCGGAGGTGGCGGCCAAAAGGTGACAGTAAACAGGAAATAGACAACTCACGTCTTTGGCGTGCTGACCGCCGTCGTAGAGGACTGCAAGGACCTTGACCTGGTTTTGGCGAGTAGTTGTTAGTGTGCGGATCGAATTGAGTTGACCAGGCAGTTTGCGAGGGAGAGTCGAGGATGCTGGGGAGGCCCGGCTGAATGCGGGTCGAGCAGCGAGGAAAGATGCCTTTGAGGACGTGGAAAGTCCTCGAGAGGCCAGAGGGGCAACGGAGCGGATGTGACGAGAGAGCAATACCATTGTGACTGATTTAGGGGGTTTGAGTTGGTGATGTTCGAAGGGACTATAGCTCGGAGGGAGGGAGGTTCGTTATATAGAAGTGAATCTAGATGGGAAATCCGGAAGTTCGGAGATCTGTAGAAGAGGTAGATGAAGATGTTTGTTGTGTGTGATGGAGTGGAAAGGCAGGTCGACGGAAAACCGGCCAGGGGAGGTTGTATTTATGTCTTGTAAGAGGCGTCGATGCATTGCTGCATCGATACATCGCCGGCTGACCGGGACTTCAGACTCGCAGCTAGGGCCAGGGCGGGGAACAACGAATGGAGTACATGGACGTCAGAAAGAGGCAAGACAATCCGGCTCCGCGAGTCTGCCGTTGTCTGGCTTTGCTGGGTCCTGGGTCTGGGTCTGGGCTGGTTCGATGGAATCGATACATCGAACGTGATGGCTGCCTCCTCTCCTCTTTTCGTGCCTCTTTCCCGCGGCCCATTTGCCTCACGTTCTCCCACTTCCTCCACCTTCCCGAGATACCATGCCCCTCCTTTCCAGAGTATCTCCTTGGAGCCAGTCAGATATCGGACAGGTATCGGCAAGGTTCGAGACGGCAGCGAGGCTGGGCGACAAAGGTGCGCAAAGGTAGACTCGGAAAGCTCTGAAAGCTACCTCTGGCTCGGCATCTCCAAATTAGTCTCACCCAAGGCCAATGGTCTTTTTTTGCCTGGTAACTATATGGGGAAAGCTCCCAGGCGTCCCATCATTGGCTGCGTGGTTCGTCTGCCCTCCACCCGAACGAGAGCTTCCCTCGCCCGCTTCAGTTGGCAGCACCGCCCATGGCACGATGAAACGCCGCGTCCAACCCGACCCCGGCAAATCTTCAACCCCCAAGGCCGCAGACAGCACCTCTACTGTGCAGCTAGACTAGGAGCTACCATCCATCTCGTCTTCTGGCGACCAGGTGGCGGAGCCAATTCCCGTTGATCAAAAACCCCATGCAATGCAGAGCGTGCAGTCGCGACAATCAGCAACAGCGCGCATCCTATCAAGCATCACGGTGCAGAGTGAGGGGTAACAAACCACCTTCCAAGACCGCCATCATACGCGCGCCGTTCCATCATCCAAAGCGAAAGCGGCTTGGGTTGTGTGTACTATGTGTTCTCATCACCTAATCCCTTCTACGACGCTCTCCAATCGTTCTCCGCCGTGGACAGTCGATCGTCTGTTTCGGTTACACACGACCGGGCCTGGTATCAGACGGACCGCAGCAGATCCATGGACTTTGAGTCTTTGAACTGCGGAGAAACAATGGCATGGGCGCTTCTAGCTAGCCCATGTACAGCATGCACGAACCAATCCCTCATGCGCCGCTGGGTTGGAACGCGGAGATTTGTCGTCAAGCTTTCGAGAGAGACCCCTCCGGAGGTGGTTCGGCGTTCTGTCGGGGTTCCCTTTGGTGCGTGAGGGGTGGTTGAACTTCGGCGTCAAAACCATCGCACGACATTCCCGTCTGCTTGCTTTGCTTTGCTTTGCCCGCTCGTAACCTTGAGGGGCCTAGCTGACCCAGCAACGTAAGCAGTGCAAGCAAGGCATAGGAGGCAAGCAAGCAAGCACATCGGCATCCGTCCCGGCGCCCAGCTGATAGTCGCCCATTGATGATTGCACCTCTCGGGATCGATTGCAGCATTGGGGGGGGGGGGGGGGGCGGATACGGTACGACGGCGAGCCGCTCGTCTTTGAGCTTACCTCCGAGCTTGCCTACCCAGCCTGGCCACCATTTCTCGGCGTTTCGCTGTGCGCACGAAAGAAACATCGTGAGCCCCATCGACGGAGTCTTCTGTCGTCAGCTGTGGATATCCGAGAATCGTCCACAGAGCCAGGACACGTCGACAAATCTTCTCGACAGTCGACACAATCGTGACGGAATACCGGATCGCAGTGTGCCGCGGTTTCCGGCAAGGGATTCCGTCATCGATGCCGCATCGTGGCCCCGCGCGACCCTCTTCTTCCCTTGCCTTGCTGTCCGGCCCCGTTGGGGAGCTCATGCCGGTCCACTGTCGGGAGGGCGGCTGGAGGTTGGCGAAGGCGGGCGGGGGTTGGCGCAAGTATTCATAAACCCCCTTTTGAGCTTACTCTCCCATCAACGGGCGCTTGGTCTAGGGGTATGATTTTCGCTTCGCACTTCCGTCAGGAACGCGCCTTTGTGAAAGGTCGTGGGTTCAATTCCCACAGTGTCCATTTTTGAACCCCGAAGGCTTTTCTTTCATACATTGTTTTTTGATGTTTTGCATCGTCAGTCGCCGTTTTGTTGGAAAGCGTGACCAAAGTGACGGTTTTGTGAAGGAGATGCCAGCCAGGGTGCAGCAAAATCTACCCCGAAGATGGGCCATCTGAAGTTCGGCACAACTAACTTTATGCCAATGGATCTGCCTACCAACTCGCAACTGTACTTAAAGCCAAACTCAATTGAATCAGACTTTGAAACCGCCTTGGAAAGATCCCCCATTCTGATCGAGTCCAGGGACGATCCCTACCTGTCGTCGCTCGTGCACAAGCAAAGTCTAACTCTACTGACGTTGACCTCTTGGGTGACGCTACGTGCCGCCACCTCTGCACTGTCAACGATCTGCGCCTCTGTTCTTGAGACTGGCGTAGTCGGAATACTTATTTCTGCGAGGCATCAACTTATCAGGAGCAGAGACTCCTCCCACATCTAAGATCCATGGGGTTGACTGGCCCCAGCAGGCGTTGCAAGAGTCGATGATGGCCAACTAAACCAGTAACAATTCTTGGCTTTTTTTTTTTTTTTTTGGAAAGGAGATGGAAGTCCAAGGCCCCTTTTCTTGCTTTGGAGCTCCAGTTCTGAAAGCACATCTCGCCGCTCTCTGTCTTGTGGCTCGGGTCATGTATGGACGCGATGCCTGACGGTGAGTGTTTCTTTCTGTGCCAGTCTTTGCGGATGGATTGTGGTCAAGCACCCACTGAGCTCCTCGCGCGTTTTCAGGATGGGCAGCGGGCTGTTTATTGGCAAGGCGGTGGGCGCTTCTACAGATCGATGGCGGCCAGGGATGCTTGATGGATAGCTTCATATCCTAGGACTGGTTCTGGGGGTTGGATGAAGCATGGCTCGGCATCTGTATGGCCAAGCTCGAAGGGCTTGTAGAATAGCATTCCCGAATCAGCACGCAGCCCTTTGACACCGTGACTAGGTATTGGTTCGACGGGGTTGAGGCGCTTGATCTGGCTGGATGGTCTTCCCTGGAGAGCCGCGGAGACACCTGAGTAAATGCCTTGGCTGATTTGATAGACGGTGATGCCCCGAGGTCCCTTCTCGTCTGGTACGTTGGGCGTCCTTGGCGTACCCATCACAGGCCCTGGCGAGTCTTTTCCCTCTGTCGTCTGTCTCGATGGATGCTGTTTTCCATCCAAAGCTTCTTGGTGGCGTGGATCTTGCGTGAGAGCAGTAGGTAACGTGATTCCGTAGCGTGAAAATCGCGCCGTCTTCCCATACCAGTGCTACAGTTCCGCCGCGCTTCAAGGATCGATGGTCTCGTGGGCGAGTGTGTTCCTAGAGAAGAGATAGGAGGAGGGCGCGGTGGTGATCGCTTCGGGAACTGTGTAGACGTAAGGCGATGTTTGCAACGTGATGTCGGCATCTTGAACGTCTGAGAGTTGTGCCGTCGTTCCCGTGGATGCGACTCTTGGAGGACAAGGGGGTTGATGTACTCCTGAACGCCGCGCAGAAACAAGGGGAGGCTGACGCAACTTCAGTGCTGCGATGATCCGGAGGACAATCTTTTGTTTCTGTAAGCTACCTATCTTGTGGGAGTGCTTCGACTCGTCTGACATGCGTCTCGTCTGACATGCGTCTCGTTTGGCTTTCCAAAAGTCGTTCTCCGCTTTGAGATTGTGGCAGATAGGGGTAGCTAGCCTACAGTCGTTTTGGGGGACGAGAGGATGTATGAGCCGCAAAGTTCTCCTTGGTCAATAGATCCGCGGATGATCGAGCCTGGCGAGGAGCCTCGCGAGCGCCAGATACATTCAGATGGTACTCCCGTCGTCTCTGCCATAATGACAAGACGACCTCGGCAGAGGGTTCAAAAACGTGACCGAGAACCAAAGGGAGGGCTTCAGAATCCCACCGATATACGGCTACAACAGTCGCAGCAAGAACGCCAGTTCAGCTCAAAATCCGACGGTTTCCTCATTTTGGGCACAGGGTTCTAGCAATTCTACATCCATCACACGTGACCAAAAACAAAAGAGTTCACCCCCCCGGTGGCGAATGGGGGCTACATCTCTGGTACCCATGCTGGGACTCGAACCTGTGACCCTAGTGTAGGCTAAGCCAGTTGAACAAGCTCGCCTGTAACCATCCCGCCAAACGGCAGTTCGACCTGACCTCACAGGCCTGTGAGGCGCCTGCTGCCGTTGGTGACGGAATTGAACTTGAGGGGGGATATATAGGCTTCTGTCATGTATACCGGGTGAATATACACATGGTGATTCACTGATACCTGGGGCTGAGGTGGGCCCTCTTCCCGGTTCGAACGGACTGACAGCGGCATTGCAGAATCGTCCAAGACGAGATGACCAAGTCCACTGTCAGTTTACGCTGCCTGTGAACTGCAAGCACCATTTGCCTTCCGACCACTTTCTTTCCAAGTTTGCCGGCCTTGATCTCGGACGATACGGCGCGAGCTGAAGCAAGTATGGCAATCTAGATGAGCAGCCCCATCACGTCTATGATGCCTTGCAAAGCCGTATGCCGTCACCTCCGGCACGAAGACGCATCTGAAAGCAGAGTCACAGCTTCCATCAGGGTTCAGTCTCGAGGTGTCGCAACCCAATATACGCCACCCGAGACGCCCACTCGTGCATCCGGTAGCCCTGGTGAACTTTGGGAACCTGGCATGATGACTGATGCCTTGCATTCTACGACTTGTACACCAAAAGCCAGATGGTGCAAGCACGATCGATGTGCTCGATGAGCTGCAGACGGCTTCCTCAACTAGTCGTGGCGTCTT